AATAAAAACTGATGTATTAAAAGAACATTCCTAACAAAAAAAAAAAAAAAAAAAAAGTGGTAACAAAAATATATATTACTGTTACCCCTCTTTTTTGTTATTACAGATTGCATCATCTATCAGAGAGATGAAATTTAATCAGCAGATAGCTATTAATGTCAACAAGTGAGCACAAATTAAAAAAATAGTAATTAATGTATAATATTGTCCATAACTACATGTACAAGAATGTCAATTTTAATAATAGTGAAAAAATAACCATGAATACATAAAAAAGTGTGTATATTGTCAGAAATTCTTTTTTCCACGACATAGCTATTAGTGCTATGTTATAATTCTTATTACCTAAATAATAATAATACTGAATAATTTTTTTAAACATTAAAGTATATTTAATCACATCTGCCTAATAGCTGTTGTGACCTGTTAATGTTTATTTTTATTGTTGAAATGAAATTTTATACCTCTGTGAATATATATTTGTTCTTGGTTTTTATTTATGAATGTTAAGTTTGAAACTGTGACCACATCATTGATGATATGTACAACTGATGGGATCATTATTCCCAAATCCCAACTGCTTGCTTAAAATGTTTTCTTAAAATATATAACATATAAACGTCTCTATCCATTTGTTGTTTATTTTAAATAAATCTTTGTGAAAAAGGTTAATAAATTTTAGAAGATTTTTGGCAATCTTGCATCTTCATTTAAATTATTTACAAGAATAATTTTATATTTAAAACATTCTAAAAACTAATACAATTTTTTTATTCACAAATTAATAAACATTTACTAAATTAAAATATGTTAAATCCTTATTTACCATTATATAAAGTTCAAATTGATTAGCAACTAGCCAATGTTTTGCCAACAAATCTAACAAATAAATAGGGCTTATTATTTCTGTTGGAAACTTTCTATTTAATCAAGTTAACCCCATGGAAAGCAGTAAAGCCACTAAAACACAAGGGGTTACTGGATGTGGAAGAATTAGAAACAGAAACATTACTAATGAGCGAGAACAAAAAGAGTAATTCAGGAAGACAGTAGATAGCAATTGACATTTCATTTAAATTTTTGAAGATTAAAGTTGGCTTGAAAGCATGGAGTTAGAAGGGAGTTTCACAAAAAGTGCAAGAAAAGAAATTGTTAGTATAGACTTTTCAGTTACATCTAGACAGCTCAACTGTAAATTGATGAGATTTTGACATCAGTCTACTACTGTACTTAAATTCAAAAAGTTTAGGTACAACAGCAAAGTGCTCATCTGAACAATTACCATGAAAGTATTTATAGAAAAGTCAAAAAGAGGCAACCTTACAATGGTGGGAAAATGACCAAAGCTGAGACACCAGATCAGGATCAATAATATTGCAGATTCTTCTTTGGATTTTATCAAGGATATCTAGAAAAACAGCAGGAGCACTAAACCATATGTGGTAGCAATATTCTAAGCATGGATGGATGGTAGACCTTTTTTTTTTGTGAGAGAGAAAAATTGTGTCGCACAACACAGTGAACAAACTTTCTTAGCAGCTGACCTAGCAATGGATTCAGTGTAGTCTTTCTACTTCATGTCAACTGAGAACGTTAGCCCCGGAAGGCATGAGTCAATTTCCTGAAAGTTAGCATCAGCCATGCTGACAGAAAGCAAAGAAGGGTCTCTCAGATGATGAATGGAGAGCAGTTTAGTTTTGGAAGTATTAAAATTAACAAGCAATCTTTTGCCTCATTTAACAGACTGAGCGTTGCTTTCGATATCAGCTGTCATACGAACAAAGAAAATGTATGAATTCACTTTCATGTTTACATTTTATTAAAATTCTAACCATCACTTTTTAAAAAAAAACATTGCCAAGGGAAAAAAACATCCTTTTGACACTTCATTTTTCTATAGACACAAATGTCCAAGATTGTCAAAATTTTTTTTGCCAAGTTTAAAAAAAAATGAAGAAATCCAAAATTAAGATAAAGGATAATATCAATAATTACATAATTATCAATGACATGGATAGAGTTTCGAATCTTGATATTTGTAAGTGAAAAAAAAAAAAAATTACACTTTGTCTATGTATTTATATTATATATAATAATTTTATTATTTATGTATATATGATCCAGCATGATTTAGACTGCTTGGCTACAGGGCAAGTTACAGCCTTGCTCAGTTTCATATTGGAAATGTAAACAAAGCAATTCCTAAAAAATTACTGTGCTCTAGAATATATCTTCATTAAGTTTTCCTGTGTGCACAGACTAATACATACTGTTTAAAATTAAAAAAAAAAAATAGGGCATCTATTTCAAAGTTTGAAATAATAAAATTGTTGAATTAAAACTAAATCCATTAATATTTTAGAAAATGCTTTGTTTACATTTTGGAAATAAAGTTGAACAGATATGGGCTTTCAAGTATAACTGAATGAGGAAATGTGTATTCCTTAAAGGTGATGATAGAACCTTGATGGAATGTGACCTTCACTGAATCAAACAGTCTTTTCTCCTCACAAAGGGGGGGATGCAGGTTCATATGCTGGAGAGTATATATATATATATATATATATATATATATATATATATATATATATATATATATATATATATACATATACACACACACACACGTACTTTATGGCTTACAAAATGCAACACTTTTTTTTCCTCTGAAAAATACGAACGAAGATGAACGTTAGGCAACATCAAGAGTCAAGTAAGCTTGGACGGTCAACTAATTGGCTTGCCTGATAGGGACGTGGATTTGTATGTTGGGTCATTTCACTATAATGTTAGCTATCTAATTCAGCCTTTTATATGATGTAACCTCAGTACTTAGCTGTTACAAGTATTTCCAAGACTATAAACCTTCCTGGAGCCAAGCCACAAGCTTAAACATGCTTTATGAGCAGCAGCAGGAGACTTTCTGCTCTTGACTGGTATGTCATTGCCATACAAACAAAATCAGACAAATGATTAATGTAAACAATACACAGCACCAGTATATTGGGGACACATGGTAGATATTTTGTTGCATGAGAATTACTTTTTTTACATAGAGTGTGCGTGCATGTGTGTATATATATATATATATATATATATATATATATATATATAAAATGAAACTCTTGGTAATCCAAATGGATAATCCCAAGGAGAATGAAATCCTGAGAGTCCAATGTTAAGTCAGAGCAAATAATTTAATTTAAAAAAAAAAAAAAAAAGACCACTTTAAGGCTCCACTACTTATAATTTATTTAAAAAATTTTTTTCTTTTCACCTTTGAAAGTGAAGTCTAAAGATCCAGAGAAAATAAAAATTCTCTGGTGAAATAAATTATAAACTAATGGAGTCTTAAAGTGGTCCGTTTTTCTTTAAATAAAATAAATATATAATTACTTCATATATATGCTTGCTTGGGGAACAATTTTGAAATGCCCCATGTCTCTTCTCCAATTTATAACTGCTGGGGATGAAGCTTGGTGCTCAAAAAAATTTAACAAGCGCCAGGCCGATGCGAAATGAAACAAGCGCCAGGCCGATGCGAAATGAAACAAGCGCCAGGCCGATGCGAAATGAAACAAGCGCCAGGCCGATGCGAAATGAAACAAGCGCCAGGCCGATGCGAAATGAAACAAGCGCCAGGCCGATGCGAAATGAAACAAGCGCCAGGCCAATACGGGAGGACAAATAGCACATGAGCTGTTTGATTTGGATGTGTTGGGAAGTTTACATGAATGCATGATGAAAGACAAAACAGTTTAGGATTGAAGACAACATGGTGGTAGCCCCCAACAACAGTTATCTGATTCACATCAGGTCACTCCAACTATTTTTATTTTCTTCATATAAAATATAACCTGAAAAGGAAATGGAAAAATTGTTGGAACAAGTTTATGAAGTCAAGAGGAGTTGAAAGATTTGAAGTTGTGAAAAAAAATTTTTTTTTTAATAATTCCAGTTATTAGACCAATAGCTAAAAACAATCACTTGTGGAATTTTGATGGCATAAAAATAAACGATACAACCAAGATACTGATGTTCCACACTACTTCAAACAAAAGGTTAGGAAGGAAGCTCCCATCAATACTGGAAAGAATGATAATAGTGAACTTGGGAAACCTATTTTCCAGATAATTGCTTTAATATATTTTATAAATTTCAACTAAAAGTAGCACTGGCTGCTCAGTAAATGAATGCTGAATATTTTCTTATAAAGGAAATTGCTAATATTCACATTACCATTGGGCATCTCCTCATAGGATGTTTAATTACAAAAAATTATATTTTTTTAATTTTATTTTTAATTGCAATATCAGTTCAGTGATTTATGTGAAACTGGTAATTTTGTAATTCAAATTTAAATGCAAAAAATGCAAGTATATTTAACTGATATCATTTGGAGATAAATAAAATAAATCTAATAGAAAAAAAAAAAAAAATTAACATTTGAACCAAATGAATAATGGAATTAAAATAAATAAATAAAAGAAAATGAAACTTAAAAAAAAGTAAAGTTTGGACAACAAAATAAGAAAGAACAACAAAAAACAAATGAAGAAGAAGAAAAAAAAAATTATGAAGGATTATAAAAGAAAAACAGAAGTTAAAATGAAATGGTTTAAGGCTTGCACTAGAGAGAACGAGAGAGAAAAGAAAAGCAGAAAGGAATTAAGAAATATTTAATGATGGAATGTTCAATATATTTCTTGTGAACTGTTGACAACAAAATATTGAATACTTAGCAAAGTAAAAGTACTGGAGAAGTCTAATGTGGAAGAATTAACTCTTTTCCTATAAATCAAAGTGGAAGTTAATTGAAACATCAAAAAGGAATTTATGTGGCCTAAGACAATCGATAGATAAAACTAAATAGGAAAGGTTAAGATAAACAAAAGTAAATAAGCTGAGTAGAACTAAAATGAAGAGAAATAGTAAATTTGGGTGATGGGGGTGCGGTCATTAATAAAATGGTCTGGTAAACAGAATAAAAAAAAAAAAAATCAAAGAAAAAATAACAACAAATATGGAAAGAGAGAGAAGGAGATGGTACAGAGAGAGAGAGTGAAGAGTAGGGTGGTGGGGAGAGAGAAAGTATAGGGGTGATAGAGGGAGAGAAAGCAAAGAGTAGGGGGTTGTAGGTAGTGCAAAGAGTGCAGGGGAGAGAGACCAAAGAAAAAAGGGGAGAGAAGAGCAAAGAGAACGGGAAGAGAGCAAAGAGAACGGGGAGGGAGAACGGGGAGGGCAAGAACGGAAAGAAGAGACAGAGAGAGAGAGAAAAGAGAGAGAGGAGAAAGGAGAGAGAGAGAGAGAGCAAAGAGAAGGGGGGCGATACAGAGAGAGAGAGAGAGCAAAGAGAACGGGGCGAAAGAGAGAGAGAGAGAGCAAAGAGAACGAGGGAAGAGAGAGAGAGAGAGAGCAGAGAACGGGGGCGATACAGAGAGAGAGAGAGCAAAGAGAATGGGGAGACAGAGAGAGAGAGAGAGCAAAGAGAACGGGCGATACAGAGAGAGAGAGAGCAAAGAGAACGGGGCGAAAAGAGAGAGAGAGAGAGCAAAGAGAACGGGGGCAAAAGAGAGAGAGAGAGAGAGCAAAGAGAACGGGGCGATAGAAGGAGAGAGAGAGAGAGAGCAAAGAGAACGGGAAGGAGAGAGAGAGAGAGAGAAAAAAGAGAACGGGGAAAGACAGAGAGAGAGAGAGAGCAAAGAGAACGGGGGAAATATAGAGAGAGAGAGAGAGCAAAGAGAACGGGGCGATAGAGAGAGAGAGAGAGAGCAAAGAGAACGGGAAGGGGACAGAGAGAGAGAGAGAGAAAGAGAACGGGGCGAGACAGAGAGAGAGAGAGAGCAAAGAGAACGGGGCGAGCAGAGAGAGAGAGAGAGAAAGAGAACGGGGCGATACAGAGAGAGAGAGAGAGCAAAGAGAACGGGGCGAGGACAGAGAGAGAGAGAGAGCAAAGAGAACGGGAAAAGACACAGAGAGAGAGAGAGAGCAAAGAGAACGGGGCGATACAGAGAGAGAGAGAGAGCAAAGAGAACGGGGCGACATAGAGAGAGAGAGAGAGCAAAGAGAACGGGGCGATACAGAGAGAGAGAGAGCAAAGAGAACGGGAGAACGGAGAGAGAGAGAGAGAAAGAGAACGGGGAGATAGAGAGAGAGAGCAAAGAGAACGGATACAGAGAGAGAGCAAAGAGAACGGGGCGATACAGAGAGAGAGAGAGAGCAAAGAGAACGGGGGCGATACAGAGAGAGAGAGAGAGCAAAGAGAACGGGGGCGATACAGAGAGAGAGAGAGAGCAAAGAGAACGGGGGCGATACAGAGAGAGAGAGAGAGCAAAGAGAACGGGGGCGATACAGAGAGAGAGAGAGAGTAAAGAGAAAGGGAGCGATACAGAGAGAGAGAGAGAGTAAAGAGAACGGGGGCGATACAGAGAGAGAGAGAGAGCAAAGAGAACGGGGGCGATACAGAGAGAGAGAGAGCAAAGAGAACGGGGGCGATACAAATCTTTTCCTTTTATCTGGTCTTGGCAATACAAATAATTATAATAATAGACAGTTGAGTAAAAATAATTTCAGGTTGAGGGATTGCTTGATTTGTAATAGTGAGGCTATTCTGAATGTGATAAATATTTTGAAATTTTTCTAAAATATCAGAGTCTAGGCTTGAATTTTCATATTTAGGCATTTGAGACTAAAACTAATGATGGTAGTATGGTTCATTTGAATTGCATTAATAATGTCATTCAAAAAAGTGACAAATCTTTGATGAATTTTTCTTGTGATGGTCTGCAGTTGAATTTCCACATTTGGATATAAAAGGGCATATTTTAGATTAAACATTCAAGTTGTTTGGGATTTGTTGGATGCATGTCAACAGGGCAACTTTGAAAATTTATGAGTTTCTCAATTACCAATTATCAGTCTGACAGAAAGTAAATGAATTACTTACCAAAAAAGGATGAGCCCAAAATGCAAATTATAAATCACAGATACCAAAATCAACCAAGCATGAAAATTTAAATATCTCGGAAGTGTTCTAACAGAGGATGGAAAATATGACACTGAAATCCAAAAGTGCATTGGGATAGTGAAAGATGCTTTCCAAAAGATAAGCAGAGTATTAAGAGACAGAAAAACTATTCTAGAAACAAAGATTACTGATTTGTTATTATATCTATCCTAGTGTATGACAGTAAATTCTGGACAATTTCCTCAAAAATGAAGCAGCAGCAGCAGCAACAGAAATGTGGTTCTACAGAAAGATGCTGAGGAACATGTGAGCAATAACAAGGTTTTATAAAAATGGAAACAAAATGAAGATATTAATATCATGACAGTTGAAATTTCTAGGGTACATATTGAGGAAAGACAGCTTGGAATATCTTTTACTAGAGAAACAGAGAAAAACAATGTATAACATACTTGACAAAATGGATGGTGGAACAGTGCAGAAATAAAGGAAAGACAGAATTTATTTAGAGCTGCAAGAGACAGGAAATTGTGGAAGGCCATGATCACCTACATCCTGAAGGGACACATCACAAAGAAAAAGACGACCAAAATGGATGCATTCTTTTCAAAAATCAACGCATAAAAATTAGTATCCTGTTTTTAAAATTTGCAAGAAATCAGGTAATTATCTAATTTATAAAAAACTTTCAGTACTTATTCATTAAAAAATGAATTGTATATTGAATCAGTCAGTTATATGCCATGCATGATACATGCTTAGGCAATCATGTATCTCTCGATACATGACTGACAAGGCAGATTTTTCCTGCAATAGGTTGCTATTTCTTTTTTGCAGTAGACCAGTTGCCATCCAAAGATATAGAACCCGGTATGTCCTGCTTTTACCTGTAGCTAGGGGGAGAAGAAGAGGTTTCATACCTTTCCCAAGAGTATTAGCATGTAAGTGAATGTAACAGATTCAAGTGGAATTCGAACTCAGCTCTCCGTTTCCTCAATCTAACCCGCTATCCATTACACTACTGTGCCTTCTCTGAATAAGATGTTTTATTATATAGATAATGACGTTATTTGGATTAGTTTCACCTGTCCCTTCTTCATTATTTGTACGTACTTTTTAATTTTGGAGATGTTGACAAAATATTTTTGTTTTACATGAGGAAAAATCCCAGATGACGTGATTTCAATAATAAAAAAAAAAAATCCAGTGTGAGCATACTGTGACTTAGCAAGTATAAGTCAAAAGTTAAAAAATAATTTTTTTGTGAATTGGTGCTTGCAGAAATACATCGCATTTTCTTTCAGATTATAGAGGAAAAAAAAAATCAACACTGAATATTTAAATTTACTTGTAATTTTTCTGTGCATTTTTGAAATTCATCCCATTGCTGTTTGTTACAAGAGTCTTTTTTTTTACCAAATAAAAACATATTTGAATCAATCATGCAAATTCAGAATAATTATAAATTACCTCATTGGGTGCAAATAAATATTATACGACATCAAACAGGTAAGAAAATAATCAAAAAATAAAAACCAATGAAACGTCAAAAATGAATTTGACTGAAAAGACCAGGGTGGAGATATTTGGTGAATGACTGAGTTGCAAAAGAAAAGGTCCTTCCTTTACAACTCCCTCCGCAAGTTTCAGGTAACCACAGTAATAACAGACAGGAACAATAATAACTTGTTTCACTGTCGGCCAAAAAATCTCTTGATTATGAGGTGAAGGGATTTTTATAACATACCTCTGCCTTCATCTCTTCTGCCAATTCAAATGGAAGGCCACTAAAGTGGAGGAGATGAGGTGTTCACACCTTAGGACTTCCCGGTCAACATAGCTGCTCCACTCATGTAAATCTATTCTTCATTATTTCCAACAGAATTAAACTCAAATTATCATTTCACTAGTTTTCAATTTTTTTTATATTTCTAATATAGTATAAAAAATAAAATTAATCTTTCTACTACCTTCCATAAAAATATATAAAATAAATTATATTCTTAAACTATTTGTTATGTAAGGTAAAAGATAATTTGTTTAAACATAAATACCAATTTCTTGGTTATTGCACTATGGGAGTTCAATATTTCTTTAACATTTTTTTAAATTTTCATGTGTTTTTAAATGGTCAGATGACAATAGCAAACTTGAAATCACAGAGCAAAAATGATCATTACTTTCATTATATTTTAAGCAGAAAATAAATATTAATTTTAAATTAATAATTAAATTTACTTTGAAAATATTAGATTTTTAAAAAATGTTTAAATTTGTTATTTCCATTTTTTTGTCTACAGTGGTAGTTCGAAGAGTGAACATGACAACATTTTAAAAATATTTAAAAGATTGATTTAAATGCAGGAATTTATTTGTTTTATATGAATTAACTCTAGGCTATTATCCTTCGAATAAAACCAAAATGTAACTTCAAAATTCAAGGCCATTTAAATTATTTTAAACAATCCTAGATTTTTTTTTTTTTTTTTTTTTTTAAGAAAGTTTGTGGTCATACCAAGAATTAGTAAAGAATTAAAACTTGTGGGTCAACAAACTAATACAAATACAGCCATATCATTGATTCTGTACAATCACTTCAGTTAAGCAACATTGGTCAGTATATAGATCAGTGATTGCTTGGAAATACTAGATGCTATAAGCTTGAATGTACAAGTGGTATCATGGATAATGGCTCGAAATTGTTAATCAGAGAGCAGAGTTCCAATTCCAGTTTTGTTATATTCTCTCAGGCACAAATACTCTTGGGAAAGGTATGAATCCACCTCTTCTCCCCCCAGCTATGGGTTAATTATTGTATCACTAAATCAGCTGATAAGCTGTAGAAAACAAATTAATTAGATAAACCATTAAACAAAGCATATGAACTTACTAATTTATAAAGATGCTAAAAAAGTAGATGGTAATTAGTTTGTAGTGACAGACAAAAGTTATCTCCCTTTGACCAAACAAAAATAATAAAAATTAATTATAAATATCCACAAGAACAGAAAACAGTCACATGATCTAACAAGACATCATTAGGTGAGAAAGTTAATCTTTCTCTCTTGCTCTTGGAAGTTAAGATATCAAAACGTACCATTTCATACTCATGACAAACCAAACAGATAAGCAAAAAATTCATATTGTTTTTCGTAGTCTCTTAAAAGTAGATACATGCTAATTTTGTATTAAGAATTTCAAATATAAAATATATGCAAGTGTTTTTATATGAAAACTTTTGTTTTATTTGAACTTTTCATATATTTATGTTGTCATATGTTTCATTTACTTTGAATAAGGTTGATGCTTCACATCCTGCACAACACGTTAATACTAGTATTAACTTGTTGCATTCAACTTAATTATTTGAAGTTATACACAAACTTAGTTTTAATACAAGATTCATACAAAAACTTTACAGTTGTCAGAACTTCAGATTCCACACACTGGTCAACATATTAAAATATTGAAAAGACAATTTTTCAATAGCTAAAACGCAACAGCATGAAAGCCACTTGAAAAGTGTTTACATCTACTTTCTGAATAAATATATATATATATATATATATATATATATATATATATATAGAGAGAGAGAGAGAGAGAGATATAAGCATGTTCTACCTCAAGGATTTTTCCTACTTTCCACTGAGTTAGAAATATTATTTGGGAATAAAAATAAAATCATCAAAAACAGTTAATTTCTGGATAATTTCAGCAAATTTAAGGAGTGGGGCATCAAAACAAAAAAGATATGACATTTTCAGGAACTTTCAGTTGATTTATTGTCTTATACTAAATTTTATTCCTCATTGAAATGTATTTCTCTGGCCACTTTGATACAACAGGCTGAGAAAAGCATAAATTTGGGTAAGAATTTAAAGAAAGAAAAAATTAACTTAATAAAAAAATAAGGAAAGAACTTTTGACTGGTTGATGTAAACAAAAAGTTAAAAAATGTTTAAAAGCCACAATTTAAGGTTTAGCTTGCTTAAAAATAGCAACTTATAAAAAATTGCTAATGTTTGAATCTGGACTATAGTGTGGCTGAAAGGGAAGCCAGTATTTAGAACAAACTCAAAAAAAGAATTTCTTCGAACTTTGTCAGCCAGTACTTTGAGAGAATGACAGAAGAGATCTACAAGGAAAGATAGTACATAGGAGTCAAAGAATGGAAGACCAATATAGAGCGAGAAACATCAATATATATAGAGAGAGAGTGAGAAAGAGAGAAAAAAAACCAACATGGTCATAAGGAAGTAACGCCAAATAGAGAGAGAAGGAGAATGTGGAGAGAAAGCTGAGAGTCATGCCAAACCCAGAGACAGAAGAACAAAGCAGGGGTAAAATCAAAAACACATTAAATGGAATCAAGTGAAGGTAGAGAGAGCGAAACAAAAAAAAAACTAAAAATGAATAAGAAAACTCAAAGAGAAATCAGTCAGCGGGGGAGGGAAAAAAAAAAACAATGTAGAAGTAACTAGCGGAAACTGATAGAAATGAAGATGAAAAAAAAGGGGGGGGTTAAATATAACGGGACTTAAAAACCAATAAAAATAATGGTCTTGGAAAATGAAGAGAAAGCGAGACAGTCTCTTCATATTCCAAGAGCGGAGAAAAGAAAGAAATACATGCTGATGGCTGAGAGTAGGAATTACTCAAATACACCAAGATAGATGAAAGTTATTGAACTAACAAGAACAACTCATTCAAAGTACAAGTTAGTATTTTTTTTTAGGCATCTTTTATTTTATCAGAATTGATTTAGAATAAACTCAAAAGATTATTCTCTTGGGAACCAGACCTGACAACCATGTACACCTGTCATTTCCTCAGAAAGGATAAAATACTTCCTAATTCCTTGTATTTTGTCATTAACCAAATTCTTAAACAAATGCCATATATATACATATATATATATATATATATATGTACTGTGTGTGTTTATTGTATATAGGTCTAGTGTCATTCAAATCAATATAACTTATTAAGTAAGTAATGGAGGAAATCAAAGAAAACTATGCAATCAAAATGTTCTTTTGTGTACATCTTCAATACATTTAAAGAAATGAAAAAAAAATGAACATAAATCAAAAAATTAAAAGATCCCAGTTTTGTGCTTTCTTTTGTAATTCATGGGCAAAAATGTCTTTCTTCAAATGAAGAAAACATTCATCAGATCTGCCTCTTTCCCCATTCTGAAAACAATTTTTGTCATTCAAACTAATTAAAATGAGAAGAATCAATATTAAGCAAGACACTATCTCTTCATAATATCAAATCAAGAAAATTCATCTACACAGTGTTTGTATTTTCAATGGCACCTCCAAAATCTCAGATTGACTAGGGTGTTGGTTATCAGGGTGTCATCAAAGTTATTTATAGCCACTGTAGTTTGATGGACTTTCTGTTGCAGCCATCTTTAGAATGTATCTGTTTCACTGTCACAGACCCTAGCTGGACCACCAATTGCAAACATGAATGAATGGCCAATGAACAGTGACCAACTTGTAATAATGAGAATAAAGATTAGCCATTTCAGTCATCGTTATTCACTCAACAATGCACAGAAAGAATTTAGATTTAAGCTATCATGAAGCTTCAATCTTTTTCACTATGTCATCAACTTGTACCGACATTTCTGAAGATCAAAAATTTTAGCACATGAACCTTCTGCTTAAACAGCCACAAAAGAGGACATATCATTTTTAAAACTTTACAATTCTCCATTACATATCTGACTTTAATATTTTTTTCTCTTTACATCCTTCTTTTATGATCAATGAATGCCAAATGTCTCCTTATAAGGAAAGGGCTAATATTGCCATTACCATTCCTTGAATCTTTATGTTGTTGCAGCTCTTCTTGTTCAACTAAAAGTAGCAGCAACCAAAATTTTCACATGTAAATAATGGTTGCCATCATTTGTAGAAATAAAAGGAAATTAAATAAATTTCAGCATGGAGATATTTTCAGGTATTCTTTTATTGGTGGCAGCTTTATTTCATATCCAATAATAATCTATCTTGTGAGTATCAGATTTTCCAAGCCCTCCTTCCTCTTTATGTGCCCAAGAAATTTCAACTATCTCTTCCTGATGTTAAGTTCTTTTGTTTTCATTCTCTTTAAAACCTTGCTGTTGCTCATATATTTGGTCCATGTTATCCTCAGCATCTTTCTGTAGAACAACATTTCTGTTGCTTCATTTCTTCATCTTTGAGATCATCCAGCATTCACTGCCCTATAAGAAGACATCTAACATACAATCCTTAAAAAGTGCCACTGACTGGCATCTTAGCAAACTAAGCAGAGGTCATCACCAAAACATGCTGCTTCTCTCTACATTATTTCCCAAATATTTTTATTTCCTCCTTTTGTGCTGGTGAGACGAATGTACTAGGAAGAGTCAAACAATTATGTCCTGACCCCAAAAAGAAGAGGTATTGAGTAAAATTTCATGGGAAAATTAGTTCATGGGGAGGTGGTTGTAATGGAATGTCCCAAACTCCCAATGCCTATTGTGGACTGACTATATCAGTAGCTATATATGGTGAGAACAGGATATACCTGGGGGCTTGCTTTGGAAATTAGTTGGAGATTCGTTTCCAGCTAAGCCAGTTGAACTCCCTGCCTTCGGGCAGAGAGGAACCCAGACAAGGCTATGCCGAAGGGCAGAGTCTCTTCTGGGGAGGTAAACAGCTACCCAACCCCGTTTTTATGGGGTCTATAGGGAATTTTTGCCCGAGCCTATGAACTCGGATACCCCAAGTTAACAGAGCTCATAGGCTTAGGCACCCCACGTTAAATTCGGTCTTGTGCCACATCTGACTGTGTGGGGCAGTTGGCAAATATCCTTGCTTTGGCAATTAGTTGGAGATTCGTCTCCAACTGTGCTGGTCAAACTCTCTGCTTTTGGGCAGAGAAGAACCTAGATGAGGCTATGTCGATGGGCAGAGTCTAGTCTGGGGTGATAGACAGCTACCTGACCCCATTTATATGGGGTCTACGGGGAATTTTTGCCTGAGCCTACATGCTTGGTTTTTCCCTGCATTAAAAACCAGCCTTGTGCCACATCCTGCCCCATGCGGAGGTAAGTTAAATAACCTTGCTTCGGGAATTACAAGCCTGTTACCCAATTCCCTGTCTTTCAGTAGTGTATTCTTTTTTTAACAATAAACCTCTCTTTCTTTCACCTATGCATGTGTTGCTGTTCGTTCATTTGAATACCACCTTTGTCTATTTGTAACCTCCTTAAGGATACAACACCCACCCTCATTTTTTCACTCATTACCTTCTTTAATATTTCTTAATTCATTTATTACATTTTCTTTGTACATTTTTTATTCTCTAAATCCTTCTACAATTTCTTTCAACCAAAATCCTTCTTTGTATATTTCCTCTCATCATTGTCATTCCTCCAATAGAATCCATTCTCTTCATCCGTTAATTACATTTCTGCTTAACTTAAATATCTATATCCTTACTTACTTCCTTCCTTACCCACCCTTAAAATCTTTTTTCTCTTTCCTCACCATCCAATATATCTCTACCTTCCTAACACTCAACTCCTACTCGTTGCAAACAACTCTTCACAAGCCTCTTGCTGAGTTCTGTTGTGGCTTTCACATTTCAATTAGTATTTTTCAACAACTTCAAGCCATTCTTGGCTCTCTTTTAAGAGGCTGAAACTTACCATTGTAAAGTTCTCCACTTCTGATAGCGGTGATGGCAGTAATAGAACTAACAGCAACATTAATATTTTCAGCACCAAGAGGGAAATACTCAGATTGTATATAGCCGACATGTTAGAAATCATGGCGACACGATAAAGGAAGACAACAGATTTAAATTGAGAAAAGCAAATAAAAGAAAAAAAAAAATACGATCTTCACACCCCTTTTGGTTTGCTTCCACCTGTCCTCAATAATTATCTATTGTTTTCCCCTACTTGTATTTTCTAATGTAAACTTGTTACTTTGTATTTAAAACTAGATAATTAATTGATTACTTTGATTCATTAAGATTTTAATTTAAAAAAGGCAATTAAAAACTCATTTGTTCTTAAAATATTCTAATTTGGTTCAATTCTAAAAATATTGTAAATATAAACTCAAGTTAGTAGTAGATACAAAAAGAGTTGGGGGTGGAGAGAAAAAGTAATTCAAATAATTATTTATATTCTCATATTGTCAGTTTGTGTTTTTTTTTTTTTTACTGCTTGCTTATAAAATGCATTTCATTAAAAGCTCTCTGAACAAAAAAAAAATACTCAAAATAGTGGAAAAATGTACCAATTGTTAGTGCGCTAATTACCTATGTCCATATTTAGTACAGATATCCAATGCACCCAAAAGCTTTTTAAAAAGCTGGTGTTTAGTAACAATATCTATTCGTTAAAGTGCCAAGTTTGACTCTTGCAGAGTGTTCAGCTCTTAACTTTAAGCCAAACTAGGATAAGCTGGTTCTTGTATGTGCCATGTCACTTCAGGATGTGAGCAATTATGGATCTCCACAATTTCCTATCCATCATAGCTCTTAGTAATGTGTCATTTTGACATCCCTTTTACCCCATGTTCTGCCATCTACTCACACAATGGTTAAGTAGATGGCTCAATATCCCCTACCTGCCATGTCCTTTTTGCTTTCGATATGTCCAGTGATCGTCATAAGCTGAGGAAAAGGGGCTGCTCTTTTGAGGAATACTTGGAAACTGATATAAATCGAAGCTCTGTCTACCAGTCTTTGATGTAAATACAAACCAGGCCTGTATCTACCTTTCTAGATGACATTGAATAACCCAACAAGTTTTAATATTAAATTAATAAGCCGAGTAGGATGGTTAATTTAATATCAAAATTTTTTGGCTTGTTCAATGACAGATAGAAAGTTAGACACAGGCTGGGTCTGCACAATTCTTCTCAACCCAAATCTGTCATGTAACTTTATAAGTCTACGATTCTTCCATGTCTTGAATATTGCTGTCACATCTGGTCTGGTGCTTCTGCTATGTATCTAGAGATTCTCGAAAAAATCCAAAGAAAAATTTGCAATATTATCGAATCCAACGTGGCATCTCAGCTTCAATCATTTTCCTACTTCCCTAACATAGCTTTCCTGTGCCTTTTCTATTAATATTTTCATGGCAATTGTTCTGATGAGCTTTTCTCTTTGGTCTCTCCATTTCATGAATTTATACTATACTGGCAGTCTTATACTAAGTCTTATTTTACTGTTGAAATTACTAAATGAAACCATAAGTTCTATTCTAATAGTATCTTTTCTTACACTTCTTGCTTTCCTGCCAACTACTA